GAAAGCTCTCTTGTTTGACAGAGAAGTTTTTGGGATAAATTCATAGTAATAAATTACTTCTAGCAGGAGCAATAAACAACAGTGAGTGCCATTCAGCAGCACAGTGCAACCACGTTAAGTTTGCCACTTTGGCATCCACTGCACATAGCAGTTAATCTCTGATATGATTCTTCAGTATTTTTTGTTACTGTGTCCTGGCAGAGCGTTTGGTGACTTACAAGACCTGATGCCTTCCACATGCCCCCTACTAAACAGTCATCACTGAAAGCTGCATTTGCCAAAAGTTATCACGCGGTTGTGTTCCTGGGACCTCTTCAGCAGAGTATGCCACACAGGACAGTCATACTCCAAAAATGAGAGATCAGAGCCTTGCGCTGGCTCAAGAGTGTCACATTCATCTAACTTTGCCATTACAAAAATGCTTAAGCAGCAGCGAAGCCACAAACCTCTCCTACAGCTGTCATCTTCTGCTCAAATATGCAAGGTTAAAAAGGAGCTGATGTGAGCAGAGACCATCCAGGGAACCACAGGCTATTTTGTACGCTCTGGTGTATCACAGCGAGGTGCTCAGCTGTATGTTTGGCAGTAGTCCCGGGGTTTTAACAGATGTGCAGCAGCACATGAAATTCAGATGGCCTAAGCTGTCAGCATCCCCAGACTTTTATTTCAGCCAACCAATGAATGCTGCCACTCACACAAAAAGGATCTCCAGCTTTGAAAACTTTACTTCTGCGGTTTTCTGCCCTGGATATAAATATAAAGCAACTCTGTTTTCAGATCAGGTGCTGTGCTTCTGTGGCAACATTTGCCTGAAAGGTGGAGTGGACAGCCAGTGGTCCAGCATCATCTGAATTTCAACCTGCTTCTACAAGTAGGCTAAGAGGTAGAAATTACCCCAGTCACGCACGTACGATTGTGCAGGATTTGGTTCATATGTGTTCCCCATGCACATGTTCTCCTTTTATCTTATACTTCAGAACTGGATCCAAAGCTTAAATGCTGGTGGAAATCCTTTCTTCAACTTCAGTGGACTTAAGATCAAACACTCTGGGTTTGTTTACCTATAGAAGTCATTCCAAGAGCTTAAAGAGGATTGGGCATAACTGGGAATTGGGCTCTTACAGATGCATTTATATCAGCTGAAGCCTTTGGTACAGGTAGGTGACTATAATGCTGTTCCTACTCCCAGCCTCACATCCCTTCTTTCATATACACACAGACACTTGTATAAAGGGTCATCTCTTAGAGATGGTGCACATTTGGGACAGTTGTTCTTCTTCTAGCTCCATTTCCTTCCTGGCTTGTCCAACAGCCTGTCTCTAGTGATTTTTTTTTTTTTTGTCATTTTTTTAAACTCTTCAAATTATTAATATATTTCTTGTGCCAGAATTGAACATGGTGGATGAGTCTGTATGCTGTCAAACATTACAAAATGCAGTTATGTACACCAGCTCAGGATCTGCTGCAGATATTCTGTCAGCATAAAATTTTAACAGTAAAGATGACATTTTATAAATGATCAAACATCTTTTGTACAGTACTGGAGTGCCTCGGTTAGGAGTAGCCAAGACTGTGAAACTATATAAGCAAAACTTGTAGGCAGGTATTGCTTGGCATATGCAATTTGCCAGACAGAAATTTGAATGGCACATTTATATAAACGGAATGAATATTTCAACACTCTGTAAAATTTTTATGAATCCCTTTCTGTCTTTTCTGGCTTGCTTCAATCCATACCTTAATTCTGCACAACCATTTTTATTTCCTGCAACTGCAGGGTACAGGACAGAAATGAAGACTTAGATGATAGCGCAAGGAAACTCAGCCTGCAATTGACTCTGAAGCCTTTTTCGTATCATAGAAATACAACCACAATCAGACATAAAAGTAGTGACCATACAGTATTTCACATGGAGCAGCACCAAAACACATTCAGCTACAAAAGTTTCAACCTTCAGTTCGAGTTCTATTTGTTGCACGTCTGTTTGGACTATACTCTTCACTGCAGAGGTTTTGTCATCGTTAACAGAAGAAAGCTCTTTGAAAACAGATGAGATGGCTGCTTTGGAATGGTGTCATCAAGGGCAGTTGGTTTTGATTTATAGGTTCCAGTTTCCATGTCCACTGGTAAGGCTGGAAAAGGTCTCTGCCCTAGTGACTATCCATACAGACCAGGCTGTTGCAGGTGTGTACTTAAATGAATGATAGTCCACAGTGTCTGAGCATCAAAGTAGGTGGAGAAGCAACATTTTAAAAAAGCTGAATGGATCTTTTAAATCCACACATAGATTTACACACAGACCATAACAAGGATCTTCCTGTGAAACCATGTGAATCAGTCCTAAGACCCGAGTGTAGTGATGAGGCCACTAAGAGTCCTGGAGCTGTGTCTCTCTTCAGTGGGATTGTGTGCATCAAAAAGTTTAAGACACTTTGCTCTTTGATTCTGCTCAGATGAATTTAAGAAGTGTCCCAAACAGGGTGCTTTCCACTTTTTATCTTACAACTCCTTTTCTGTACCCAGCAGGAGCAGATTAGGATCTAGTCTAAATGGGGAGGTGTACAAGTACAGTAGTGTTCACATGGTGATGACTCGTGCCACATCACATTGAATTTACTGGTAAAGTGCTGTTAATCCCCTGAACTCTCCCCAGCAAAGTCTCACCTGTCTCCAGCAGTGTCTCAAGTCACACTTGACCATTTGAGAAATAAACCCACAGCCACCTAAGAAACAAATACCGGACTTGCATTTCCTCATTTGTGGACTTACTTTCATTTTGTGTGTGGGAGCAACACTGGGCCTTTTTCTTTACCTTCACACTCTTCCGTGCTGATAGGTCATCTATCTGCAGCAGTACACCAAGGTAACTGTGTTGCCGACATGCCCCAAGGCAACAAATCTTTATAGGCTGCTCCAAAGCCCATGTGACAAAGCGCTGCAGACCATGTCTTAGTGGATCATCACCACATTACAAAGAAGAGTGCCAAAGAAAACACCAATGCAAAAACAGTTAAAGCAGCAGACGAGTTCTCTGCTCTCTGGAGCTATAAAGTCATCACCCTCAAAAAGAAATACTAGCTGAACAGTCCGCAGCACTTTCCTCAACAACTAGTTAAGTTGCTTTAAAAACAAAAATGAACTATTTAAGAAAAAAGTGGTACCTTTCCTACAGAAGATCCCAAGTAGCTCTGTGCCCTCCAGCAGGGTGGGAGGTTTTGCAGCATCTGACGGCCTTGCACTTGCAAGAACCAGCAAATCACTCTGTGGTGGGGTTCAGCTCTGGGAAAGCTTCACCAGCTGAGCTAGATGGGCCAGCACATCCCCGAACAGAAAGGCAAGGACAACTACTGAGAAAACAATGATGGCTATGTATTTCATGTTACATTTTAACTCATAAAACTCATGCTGGACCCATCCCACGGCACTGACAGCATCCACAAAAAGGTCTTTGAGGAAATGTGGGTTAAGATGTAGCCACTTACTATAGGAGCAGCCGAAGACCTCAACTCTCAGTCCTATCCGCCCACCGACATTCCACTTCAGAGGGACGAAGCGCAAGAAGCGGGCTTTCATGGAGTGCAGAAATTTGTGGTGAACCACACTGTCAGCGTTGCTGTTCCCTGTGAAAACCTGGAAGGACAGAGAGTCTTGGTGAGACATTTAGCACCAAGAGGTGAATGCAGCACTCTGAATTAAGCCTGTGAACTGCCATCCCTCTTCCTGATTCTCAGTCTAGCAAATTACTCAAAATTACTTAAATTGATTGTCAAGCTTTCTTCCAAGTGCAGAGTCTCTTATGGAGGGAAAGGAGGGAGACAGCAGCACACAGAGCACCTCAGCAGAGTGGGGGGATGTATACAGGGAATTAGAAAAGCAGGTTGTAGATGGGGGTGTTACAGAAGATGCTGCATAATTTCTCCAAACCCAGGATATTCCTGTGCACCACAATACTCCATTGGCCCCTAACGTACCCACAGTCCCTTCAGCGCAGTGAAGGATGGGGCCCAGTTTAGCCTTTGGTGCATTCAGGGTAGCAGAAAAAGATGGTCACAAGGCACTAAGGTTGGCCAGACCCTGGGAAGATGAACAGGAAAGTGTACATCTAGATACGCCACAGAAAACTCAAGCAAGACACAGGAAGAGATGAAAGCCTGAGTCAGTACACGGGAGAATCAGCATTTCGACTGTGTTTGCACCCAAGAGAGGTAAAGCTTGCAAACAAAAATAATTTAACTTTTTTTCTTGCCTATTTGATTAATTGCCTGCAACTGCAAGCCAAAATTAATGGCCCTACTCAGAATTATCACTCAAGAGGAGGAAATTCTCTCATGGATGAAGAATGACTGCAGGATTTCAAAGATGAACGTTAAGACAAGCACCTAAGCTCTGATCCTGCGTGAAGTTTTTCAGTTCATCTTTACACCCTTACTCTGTAATATTGGGCTAGGAATATCACAGACTTCCTGCTAACTTCAGAACATTTGAGTAACTCAGCTGGGATTTAAATTTGAAGCTAACAGTTTTGTAGAATGTGAAAACCAAAGACAGAACTCTCAAAAAAAAAAAAAAATCTCACAGGAAGGCTGTACTTGTAAGAGGTCCTTCGCTTTGTAAGTATACAATTTCATCACAAAAAGTTGTACCAGTTTTAAACGCTTCTGCAGTTCAAAAGCTGGCACCATTCATCTATACAATACAACTGCAAGCACAAATTGGAATAACCCCAGTAAAGTAGACCTACAATTCATTCCTGATGGCCGAAGGATGAGTTAAAGAGATTGGGGGTTTCATCTCCACTTTGAAAAAAAGGACTAATTAGCAACTGTTTAAATTTTTACTCAAATGCAAGCATTCCAACTTTTTTTCCCAAATGTTGTTAAAAATGGTGTAAAACTTCAAATTCAGTGTGTTCTTGTTTTACTAAATGCAGCTGCTATTGTTTTATTAGAACTGTATTCAATAAAAAAACATCCTTGAACATTTCTAAGGAACAATGCTTTGAAACCATACCATGCTTTTTTCATTTCATCTTAAAAACTCTAACCTGGGAAAATTCTCTTATCTGCAATAAGCCTGCATTCATGACTGGGTGGAAAAGACAGCATATATCTCAATTCCTAAAACATTCTTGCAAGTGCATTTCATTGCTGGTATTGCTTGCCTCTAAAGACAAACAATTTTACTGAAACGATCTCTCTCACAACCCCAGTTACCTCAGTGAAGTGAAGTGAAGAACCACCCTTAAAAACATGTGATCTGTAAAATTATTTTTATTAGGAGCTTATCAGGCTGCAAAGGGTATATAATTCGGCTATCCCAACTGTTCCCAAAGCTTTGCTTATCCTGCATCTCTTATTCTGAACTTTTTATGCACAAGATCTTGTTTTCTACAAGTATTATGTGATGGTTAACTAACCTCTCACAAATTCAGCTATATTATATAATTAAAATTTTTTGGATGGGGATGTTTGTTGACCTTAATTCAAAGTTAACCACACACAGCAGTTCAGCAGCCTTGCCCATCAGATATGTTTTGAGAAGTGCCACAAGTAGCACTTCAAGATGTCCTGGGCTTACTCATACTGCTTTCCAGATAGGAGCCAAATTCAAATTCCAGCAGAGAGTATTTCAGAGGGTTTTTTCCTTATATTTTAAGCGAAAAATCTTGTTCTTCCCCGTAATGAAACTGTCAGCAGAGAGTGTGTCTTTTACTTTTTACTATTGTAATTTGTACATTGTACAAATGTAAGCATACGAATGCTCATATTTGTATTAAGACACTCTTGGATATATGATGGACAAAGGGAATTGTTGTTTTCTGTTTGTTTGCTTAGAAAGCTCATCTTCTTGGAATCCTGTGATTATGTAAAAATCCCACCTTCCAAAAGACAAAAAAGAAAGAAGGAGGAAGAAAGAAGAGAAAGAACAGAGAGTGAGCAAAGAGTTTCCGTTCCTCCCAATTGTGAAGAAAAGCTTAAAATGCCATGACTAGAATGCAAGCAAAAGCTGAAAATTAAGAGACAAAGGAAAAAGTACACCTTAATATAGCAATATTGTGAAACAAGGGGATGTGTTGTTTTTTTCTCATAATCCTCTCGTACACAAGGCTGTCAATACTGCATATTGCATCACAGGCCCACAAGGTAATAATTTTTTGGTTTATATTAAAAAAAAAAACAACATTCCGGGAGAAAGACCAAGTTGAAAAGCACAGTACCTCTAGAAATATCTCCTTGCAATTACAAAGTAATGGGGACTAGGTGATTTACGAATACGACTGTGTGCTAAACAGCCCCCACATTCCTGCCTGGAAAGCAGGTAGAAACGCAGCCCGCGCCAGCGCACAGCGGCACGCTGTGATCAGTGGGCCCTCGTGGCCACTGGAAAACCGTAGAGGCAGTTCACAACTACCTGTAACTGTTGGTAAGGGCAGTCTTGACACCTCTCTTGTTGGGCAAACCTATAAAGCCATTTTTTGCAAAGCTTGTGCAAACTGCACGCCCAAGCACAACGCACAGGAGCATCACCGCTCCTCGCACACACAGAGGCAGTCCTCTGCCTTCAGGCAGATGGTGTGTACAGCACACTTCAGGGACTGCCTGTGGAGTCAAAGGAGCTTTGTGGTTTTGCCAGGTAAAACAGAGACAGCTATACCCCGCTGTCCGCAAGCAGACCCAGGTGCCGAACCCGCAGGCATCTGTGCTAGATAGTTTCCTTCACAACACCTCAAGGAAGAGCCAGAATTACCCACATCTAGCCTCCAAATCAGTTGACTCCAAACCTGATGTGCAACTATGTAAAAACATCCTTCCCACGTTGAAATAGTCAAGGGTAAAAATAAACTCTTCAAAAGTCCAATACATCCCTTACAGCAGTGTTTCTCAAGCTTCTCTAACAACCAAAGAGCCAATGACACTTTTTTGGGAAAAAAAATCCACAGGCAATGCTGTACCATCGATCTGCGCCTACGAGATGGTTTTGCATGCAGCTGGCACATCACTGCTTGCTGCTAACTGTGGGGCATCACTGTGTATGCCTTTAGGACTGCTTTGATTTTCACTTCCAACTCCCACTGCTACACAGATCACCTTCCTATGTTTTATGGACCACCTGTGGGCTGTAGACCATTAATTGAATAACAACAATTGCCACAGATGGTCATTTGAAAACTTAGATCCACAGCTGAAACAGAAATAATCCATCCATTAAAGAAGATGAAACAAAGACGCAGTACCAGATTTCATAGCCCTGGAGGTTCAAATATTGATTAACAGTAAACTTATTGGTGAGAATGGCAGAAATACTTCCTCTTGAGAAACAGCCTCTAATACAACTTGTTATTGATAGGGATTAATTCACAGGAACAAAACAACAAACTAGCGAAGAAAACAAAGCACCCACATGCCATTTCCCATGCAACACAGTCGCTCTGGGAGGGAGCATAACATTGAAATCTGTGGTTTCTTACAAGCCCTGTAAACACAACAGACTGATGATTTACCTGGGAAATTCTGCTTCTGGCACTCTATGGGGGTTATAAATCAAAAAGTTCCATTAGCACCAAATATTGCCACCAGCCTTTTGAAGGCAAAAGCTTTTCCCTAGCGCTAGCGGCTGTAAGGTTAACAGCTTGCCACGGGCAGGGCTGCCTCTCAGACCAAGCTTGTTTCATGATGCCTGGCTGCATGGTGCCCCGCTGTGACACAGGCCATGGCATTACAGTAATATTTTATGAGGCTTTTTTTATGAGGCAGAGAAGGCAGGTCCCACTGGCATGAAGAGGTGAGCTAAGAGCAGCAGCAGTGGTTCGGAGCAGGGTCCAACCAGCCCAGTGCTGCCTCTTCAGCAGCGGCTGTCAGCACGTAGGGAAGAATAAGAATGACACAAGCATATTCGATGCTTTTCCCAGTGCTCAACCCACCCGGTTCATGGATTATACTGAAGTAGAACAAAATAGAATTCCAGTTTAGATGAAAAAGAAAACTTTCAGAAGAAAATTAAATCTCAAAACCACCGTCGTTACTCGGAATTTGGATGTATGACTCCCTCAGGAAAAACAACAAATCAAATGAATAGGCTGTTTATACAACTCTCCCATTCAGAGGGATCCCAAAAGCTGTTCAAGGGCAGTTCAGGAAAATGTCATGCAACCATGGCGAAATATGACAGTTGTTTAATAACCCTGCAGACACACATTTGCTTCTCTACCTCATGTATTAACTCAGATCTATGCCAGATCATACCAGTGAGATTTGATGTGCTAAACTTTAGATAGCCCTTTGGCCAAACTCTTAGACTGGTCTCCACCTTTAGACAGACAAGTGGAAATTGGGTGCAAGAAAAGTGTCTGCTCATGAAAGCCTAATCAATTCAAAAGTTAGCATCAGACGCGGGACTTCATCTCAGTCTCCCCTGCACACACACTCTGCACAGCAAATGGCAACTTATTTACAGAGCTGCAGAAGGTGATTCCCATAATGACTCTGCTGAATATATTTTGCTCTCCCACTTTGTTAGGCAGGTAATGGGATGGGTTCAAAATGAGTATGCAAGCAGCAATATAGGCACAATCAGCCCTGAACGGTGAGCAGGCAGACCTGAGGTTAACTACCTTCTAGGGGAGATATTTT